TATCTGGTAACCACTGCGCATGGATCAAACAACCTGGTACCAAATGCGCATGGATCAAACCACCTGGTACCAAATGCGCTTAAATACAACCATCTGGTAACCACTGTGCGTGGATCCAACCACCTGGTAGCTTATGCGCATAGATCCAACCACCTGGTGCCCACTGCGCATAGTTACAACCACATGGTACCTACTGCGCATATACACAACCATCTGGCACTCAATGCGCATGGATTTCATCTGGTACACACTGCGAAGTAACACAATCATCTAGTACTTACCTTATGCACATACATGATTCATTAAAATTTAAATGTGCTATAATATTTTTATTATGCGCGGCCTAATGGATTTCATCTGGTAACCACTGCGCATGTATCCAACCACCTGGTACGTAATGCACAAAGATACAACCACCTGGTGCCCACTGGGCATGGTTACAACCCCCTGGTGCCTACTGCGCATGGACAAAACCATCTGGTACTCACTGCGCATGGATCCAACCACCTGGTACCTTATGCGCATAGATCCAACCACCTGGTGCCCACTGCGCATGGTTACAACCACCTGGTACCTACTGCGCATGGACACAACCATCTGGCACTCAATGCGCATGTACACACTGCGAAATAACACAATCATCATCATTGAATGAAATTCATAATTTCATTGAATGGATTGCACAATTTCATTGAATGAAATTCATAATTTCATTGAATGAAATACATAATTTCATTGAATGAAATTCACAATTTCATTGAATGGAATGCACAATTTCATTGAATGAAATTCATATTTTCATTGAATAAAATTCGTTATTTCATTGAATGAAATTCGTAATTTCATTCAATGAAATTTGTAATTTCATTGAATGGATTGCACAATTTCATTGAATGAAATTCATAATTTCATTAAATGAAATACATAATTTCATTGAATGAAATTCACAATTTCATTGAATGGAAATCATAATTTCATTGAATGGAATGTACAATTCCATTTAATGAAATTTGATTGAATGCAATTCGGAATTTCAGTGAATGGAATTCAACTTGCTTATTTTTAATAAATGAAATACGCAAACACAAATTTTATTTTTATTCATTAAAATTTTAAATGGTTAATTTCAATCATTGAAATTGTGCATTTCATTCAATTTCAAACATTAAAATTACTGTATAATTTTCTTTACCAATCAGTTTAATTCAAACATTTTAATGTGCACAGCGAATTTCATACTTTGAAATTACTTTTGCATCTAGCATGAATTTCAAACAATGAAATAATGCAAATTTACAAGTTAGATGAATTTTTTGGTTACTTTTAAACTGATTGATTAAATGATAAAACGGCGTTCCATACGTGTTCGTTATCGTAATCTCATTTGAAAATAATTATTTAAATTTAAAGGTAGTAATGGAAAAGTGGTTGAAGCGGGTAACAAAAACTACCGCCCGCCGCAAGTTGATAAAAATAGTAAAATCACAGGTGATCTTTTAAGTGACAGAAGCGGCACTGAGTCCGACATGACTCGAAACGTCGGAAAGTTGTGAGAAAATGTGACCCAGAATATCTTAAACTATAGGATTCACTTGGACATATGATACGACAGATCCGCGTCCTCAATGCGTGATTTGCTACGATATATTAGCGCCCAAGTAAATTGACCCGTCGTATAGAAACAAAGCATTCTCATTGTATAAACAAGCCAGTAGATTGTTTTCAAAAAAATTGTTGGAAATTACGTCTTTAAAGAACATTGTTTCTCATTTTATTAATATCAATGAAAATGCTGTATATATATATACATCGTACCTCATTATCTTAAAGATCGCTAGAGCAGATAGCCTCATACCATCGATTAAAGATGCTGTTGGAGCGATGTTTAAAGAAAAAGAAGAAAAAAAAATCGAGCGCATTCCACTATCGAATAATACTGTTGCGCGAAGAATTGACGAAATGGCTGAATGGGCAGAAGATTAATTAATCCGGAGAATAATTGGTAGTAAATTTTATGCTCTGCAACTAGATGAGTCTACCGACGTTCAAGGCCTATCTCAATTAATTGGTTTTGTGCGTTATATATGGCAATAAGACGGGCATGAAGAAATGTTGTTTTGCAAGTCAATTACTTGTGGAACGGCTAAGTTAATTTTCAATGTAATTGATTCCCATATAAAAGAAAAAGGTATACAGTGGAAGAACTTCGTCGGTATATGTACTGACGGGGTACAAGAATTCTTTAACAAAGTCCCTGTGCTTTGTGGACACACTGAAGTTTTCATAGAGAAGCACTGGTTTCCAAAGCATTGCCCGATTATTTTAAAACTACTACTACATGTCTTCTTTTGCATACGGAAGTCGCTGGTTATCCAGGGGAAAAGTACTGAAACGATTAATACTACGCAATGAAGTTATAATTCACTTGGGAGAAAAAACTCAATATATTAAACATCTAATGGACGAAGAATTCATTCTCAAGCTCACATATGCAGCGGATATTTTTTCGAAGTTAAATGAACTCAACTTGTATTGGCAAGGTTCAAATGGATCAGACATTTTTGCAGTTCACGATAAAATTCGCGCGTTCATGAAAAAGCTTTTGCTGTGGAAGAGTTGTATTGAGGATAGGAAGTATGATTGTTTTGAAACACTTAAAACTTTTATTGTTGAAAACCAAGTGCAGCCCAAGATGAACGTAGTGTCTGCAATTTCCACTCATTTATCATTGTTAAAAAAACTTTGACGACTATTTCGGTGAGGGGATGAAAAAGTTCGACTGGTTCCCTTGTGGAAATTTTTAATAAGTAAAAATAAGAGTTTTTAAAGTCTTACTTTCTCTTAAAAACCAAACGTATCTCCCAAGTTGGGAGTCCCAACTGTTTTATTATGTTCAATTAAAATAAAGTTTGTTTACCTATATTGTAAACATTGCTTCCGTGTTTTTATAAGCCTTATAACAACACAAAAACAGCTGTTTTTGTGTTGTTATAAGGCTTATAAAAACACGGAAGCAATGTTTACAATATAGGTAAACAAACTTTATTTTAATTGAACATAATAAAACAGTTGGGACTCCCAACTTGGGAGATACGTTTGGTTTTTAAGAGAAAGTAAGACTTTAAAAACTCTTATTTTTACTTATTAAAAATTTCCACAAGGGAACCAGTCGAACTTTTTCATCCCCTCACCGAAATAGTCGTCAAAGTTTTTTTAACAATGATAAATAGTGTTAATTCCTTTTCATTGTGCTTTCTTTTGCAATAACCAAATACAACATCTCTAAATAATTCCGGATATTTATTTTAATCGCTATAGCCTACCTACCATTTCTCTGATAAAAGTCTTATTAAGTCCTAAAAAGTCTTATTAACTCTTCCAGAAGACTCCCAAATCTTGCTATTAGTCTGACTAACACTTATTCAGACTTTTTCCGACTTAATAAGTACCTATTATTTAGACTTTTTAAGAGAAAGTAAGACTTTAAAAACAAATATATAATATATAATTTATTAAAACTTTCTCAGAGAAAAATTTCCACAACGGTTGAATTGAATTTGTAACCCACCTACCAACTGGTATGTCAACAAAAGCAAGTGAAGAACTTATTGATTTATCAGAAGATTCGTCACTAAAAAATACTTTCAATCGTAAGCAATTCTGGCTCTCGGTTGCTGGTAACTATCCATGCCTGTTTGATGAAGCTATGAAAGTGCTTCTCCCCATACTTATGTGAGACCAGATTTTCTAATATGGTGAACATTAAAACTAAATACCGAAATAAATTGGACTTCAAACTCACTGCGATTAAAAGTAACTCGAGTTGAAGTTGATGTCAAAACTATAATGGCCAAACATAGGAAACAATTTCATCCTTCCCATTAAAATAACTTTTTTGATGTAGCTATTTAATTAAGTAATAAAAAATTGTATTAAAACTTTGTTTGTTATTTGAAAAGTCCTTTATTCATATTGGTAAAGGTTAAATTTCCTAGAGGTGGGTCCCGAGTTTGTAAACTTGTATTTGATAGGTCGTAGCCCAGACAACTTTGAGAACCACTGGTCTAAAGGATAATACGATTTATTATTAACACGGTCGCGGAGCCAGTTGCTTGTGTCCTCCTTAAAAAACAATAAATTTGTATCTTTAATAAAAAAAAACCTATAGGACTATACTTTTGTAAAAATAATTTAGACCAATGGGATAAAAAATTGTACATCCTAGTCTGTAAAAAACATGTTTTGACCAATCAAAAAATTCGACTACTTTTAGATCTAATCTATAGATAGAGGTCTATAACCTCACTTTCCACTTTTCTACTTCTACTTTATACTTTCTACTTCTACTTTTATTAATTATAATAATAATATAGTAATAATTATTATACCTTAAAGATAAAATGTTATAGGTATGCCATGCAGCTGGAAACTGTCTTTAGTGCTTCGCACAATTGTAGGCCTCCGACACGCATTCAAATTTTGAGCTCAGCACAAAAAGACTCACTTCTCAGCCTTATGACATAAATAAGTATTTAATTAATTGCGCGACCGATGTTATATTATTTGTTTTATTATGCAGTTGTATATCTCTCAATTAAAGTGCTATGCGCTAGCTGGGGATTTGAGTCGTCTGCTTCTCCCAAAAATCCGCCATTTTCGCATCTCTCAAAACTCAGTCTAAACTAAGTTGAATTTTCGTTGCGCGTGTGACGAAAAATATTTTTTAAATTATGAATAAACGTTTTAAATAGTACCTATCTAAATAATTGGTACTTTAAATTTTTGTATTCTTTGGATAATTAATTTGCTTTGGATATGTAATTAGATAACTGATTTTTTAGGTCTTTTGAAGATTGTAAAAAATAAAAGGTAATTAAAAAAAACATTATTTATGTCAATAATACATAGGTATCTACAAATATTTAATAGGGTCACATAAAAATAAATATTTTGTTTGTACAAAAACTATAATTATACAAGTTATCAACTAGTAAAAATTTGGTGTCAGAAATGCCCAATATTTTTGATAATTTCTGTAAATAATTTTTCTTACTATGCTTGATTAAGTCAATATATACAAAAAACAATAAATTAATATGTGTCAAACTGTTAAAGTCCACATTTTACGCTCAAATGTTAAACAGGATTAAGTTCTGAGTTACAGAGTTTTTGATACATCAAAAAACTAGGTAATCCTATTTACCTTTGGAATGAGCAGAAAAATGTCTAATGTGATTTTAAAAAAGTGGTCTTAATACAGTTTGGCTTTTGAGGTACAGATTATTGATTTAATATTTACATTTAATACATCTTAAAATATACAATATCATACATTTTTATTAACAAAAGGTAACAGGTTTAATTCTTCTCCAAATTATCCAAAATCCAGGAGACATAACTAGACACTCTCGTATAAATAGCGGGCTGTCCCTCTGTCCCACAGTCTCGGGGCCCATACGAAACAATTCCATACTGCACGAACCTGGACTCGCCATCAAAATTTTCGATTTGCTTCATGGGCCCCCCGCTGTCCCCCCCGCAGGAGTCTTTGCCCTTCAGCCCCCCTGCGCAAATTTGCTCGGCGGTTATGGGGGCGAATCGGCCGTAGATTCTTTGGCACACTGAGTTTGGCAGCACTGGGAGAGACACTTTTAGCAGTTTTGTGCTTTTTGAACCTATAAATTAAATTACAACTTAAAATTTTTTGGTAAAAAAAAATATTTTTAATAATAATAATTTTGCAGCTTTACAATTTTTATATCTCGAGTTAAAAACGACCAATCTGGTTTGCGAGAGCTATCAAATTAAACATAATCAAATTGCCGACAAATACCATTCTCTTAATGCTCAATCGGTCGATAAGTTTATGTGCAATGGGCTCAAATATCGAAAAAAAAACTCAAGAATGAATAGAAATCATCAAAATATGCCCATGTTAGAATTATCTGCAGATAAGCATGCATAACAGAAAGAAAGAAATCTACTTATGGATGAGTATACCTGGTATTCCAGAGTTATGACATCAAACAGATTTAAAACATGTTTAATACTTAATGACCTGTTGATAAAAAAATAGTGGGTATTTTAACTTAGATCAGTGGCGACTCGTCAGGGTAGGCCTCTAAGTCCGCGCCTCACCCTTAAAATGAAGGAACGAACGACTTTTTGTATTTAGCTTTTTGCCTATTACAAGTGTATTTTTACAACAGTTCTACCCAATAAAAAGTACAAAACCAATCAATTATACTAAGCGTAAATAAAAATCCAGGCGCAAAGCACCTCTAGTTTACGCGGTCAAACCCACTACATCGTTGAGAGTCGGTAGGACAGAGGCGAATTAATCACAGCCTCGGAAGCTCCTATTTAAATTCGAAATATATCAGTGTAATTACTTATTTTATTATTGTGGTGCACTGGGGAACATACTACACAATGTCATATAAGTTGTATTTGGCAGTTTTTATTAAGCCACAAGTTGTATTGAGTTTTGATTTAGGTTAGGTTTTCAAAATACCGGTCTAGTTTACGCGGTCAAACCCACTACATGGTTGAGAGTCGGCAGGACAGAGGCGAATTAATCACAGCCTCGGAAGCTCCTATTTAAATTCGAATTCGAATTTAAATATATCAGTGTAATTACTTATTTTATTATTGTGGTGCACTGGGGAACATACTACACTATGTCATATAAGTTGTATTTAGCAGCCACAAGTTATATTGAGTTTTGATTTAGGTTAGGTTTTCAAAATACCGGTAGGTTTTCTTTAGTTAAATATTTTTTTAATTACATTATTCTCTCAATAATTGAAACGCATTTTTTGAGAAGAAACTAAACCGAAAAAGACAGATATTGGGCAGTCGTCCAACGCCAAAAATGTTATCAATATTTAACGATAAGAGGCAGGGTAATTCACGAACTTTTCAAATAATTTGGTACGAAGCCTATAAGTGGCTATGCGAAAGTATTTATAAACAAAGCTTATTTGTTGGCATTGTATTTTATTGGGCCGCGTCAAAAACAATTGGAGTTCAGGGGGTGGGTATTCCGATTGCTCTGATATTTTATTTGGTTTATATGTACCTACCTATGTATATATTTTAATCCATCCATATAAATATATTTTTAAGTTCCAGATATACATATATTTTAAAGATTTAAAAAACGAATTTATGTTAAGATTGCTTTGATATTTTCTTTGTTTTATTTTTTTTAGGATATTTTTTTATTTATAATGGTTTAGTAGGGCTATCGGCCATTTTAAAAAATTTTAAAAGTCAATGCGTCGCAGAATAAACCCCCCGGGTGAAGTGTAAATTTATTCGTATTTAGACAAAATTAACCTCATGTAGCCTCACTTTCCTATACACTTAGATGAACGTGCATACGCATGTAAATTATAATGGAATAAAAAACAAATGTAACTTACCATCCTCGGTAACTCCCCAACCAGAAACAATTGCATTTCTGCCCACCAAATTTGTTTCCGCCAATGTTTCCACAAATGGCAAACAGATCGGCCTCACATTCACTAGAAATAAAAAAGTTATTATTTTTTTTTAAGAAGAAACGTTTTATACACTTACAAGTGGTAAAGTTAGCTAATGTAGCTAATTTTATTAGAGCAATATCGTTCGCTAACGTTTTGGAGTCGTAGGCATGATGCACTATGTATTTTTCTATATAAAAATCTTGAACAGGGGGGGCACAAACTCCCATTTCACAGTCCTCAGATTTGTCTATGTCAAATTCACCTAGTCGCACTCCAACACTAAAATATAAGAAAATGTTAATCACAAAATATTAAAAGTTATAAGTTATAACATTTAAACTCAGTCCAGTTGATAAAAAGGTATATTTAATTTACAAAACTTGTATCTTCGGGGTCCAAATTACCATTAATTTTAAATAAAAATTACTTACACGGAATCTATTATGCAATGAGCAGCTGTCAGGATGTATTTTTCATTAATAATCGATCCCCCGCATCTAAAATCCAACCCTTCATCTAAAAAAAAAAGATTAAAATATTACAACAATATTAGTAGGTAAATATTTTGGACATACCTGTATAATAAATAATTAGCGCCATCCATGGGTATTCCCCAAGAAACGTACTTGTACCCGATGTGATTCTAGAGTCTCCAATAATAGGACCACAAGTATCATGGGGTAACAAATCAAAATTCTTGTGTGTAGAAATATCGGTTCTAATATCGATTTCAGGATCTTTTTTTATTTTAAAGGTTTTAAAAGTGGTCGTTTTTGGTTTTATTGTAGTGGTAGAACTTGATTTTTGTAGTGTACAGCAAACTTTTGGTATTTTTCTACCGACCATACCACATTGTTTTTCGCGTATAATGTTTACTACCCTTGGCGGTCTTGGTTTTGGACTTCTTTGCAATAAATCCACGAAAAAAGGACATTGGTATATTTCTACACAAACGTCTCCCCTTGGTTGTCTACAAGAAGGGTCACCAAATCCTAAAAAAATATTTAATTTATTAATTTTTTTTAACTAAGCACGAATTTGGCAAATATTTTTTTAGTTGCATTTCCTTTAAACTCTAGACTTCATTACTTACTTAAATGGTTTCCTGTATGTACATTTTTTACACAGAAAAAAATAATCACAATCACAGTCACTTTAAAATACATTTTTTTCAATTTTATTTTATTGCTTCGGTGTATTTTTTTGTTCTACTAGTTCTAGGGTTGATGTAAAAGCAACTACTGCATTATTGGCGAAAATACGGAGGTGTTAGGTGCAATAATCCAGGGAAAACCGAGATAAATCAGAGATTTTCTTGTTTTCAGTTAATAAAAGGGGCACTTATTTTTAATCCTCTTGTATTTCATTTACATATGTAAGACTTTGGCAGGTAGTTTATCGGACTGGACGACTGCAGAGCGCTGACAAGTGCAATGTGCAGGAAAAAAACATTACGGTTTTCGTTGTTTGTTTATGTTTCGTATTGGTGTTGGTATTGACTAGTTTGTACGATTTTAACCCAAATAATTTAAATATTTAAATAAACATTAATAAAGATCAAGGTTTAAATATGTTTAAAAAAACATCATTAAAATATCAAAACTCCACAAGTGTATAACGAGTGGTCCACCAAGAGAAGTGCTTAAAAGGCATCGATTTTATAACGTATTGTATTTAAGTTGTTTTGTTGCAGATTGTTGCAGATTTTAATTTCAATATAGGTACTATAAATAAATAAAAAAATGTATTTTTTATTTAACATGAAACGCGCAGCAAAATCCGAGATTCGAGTATAAAAACGCGTAATTATTTTTTTCTTGTTATCTCTCAAAAGAATATGTAAAATATTAACACTCCTCTAAAATACATATTTGAAGAAATAAAAAGAAATAAAAATCAGATAACTCGTTTTAAAAAGTAATCATTTTGACAAAAATAAGAAACAAGAAAGTATTAACGAATTTAAAAAAAAATCTTAGGTACCTACTAATTTTTGTTAAAAACTACATTTTTAATTTTTCTACGCTGTTATAAAAATCAGATTGGTTAACATTAGTTTGTAGTTTGTTACTTTTATTTTGTAAAATGTTTAATAATTTTTGCATAAAACCAGGAATTGTTATTATTTCTACAAAGACAGACATTTTACCGAAAGTTTTGTAAAGGTACTATGCAATTCCAATTTAAATATTGCAATTCCAATTCTAACATTGCAATTTTAATTCCATCATTGCAATTCCAATTCCAACATTGCAATTTCAATTCAAACTTGCATGATACCAACTAAAGAAAAATATAAAATTTTATAAATTAAGTATTATAAAATACTTTTAAAATAAAACTTGGATCCTGTTATGATATAGAATTTAGAATACAAAGAAACAACACACAAATGACTATGCAATTTAAAGTGTGGATTGATATGGAACATTTTCCCCTAGCATGCAACTGGCCATAAAAATTGAGTGGGAACGATATTTTAAATCTGCAATAGTCGAAACTTCGCAATTGCGTACCTAAACAATATGGGCCTAAGCGATTTCCCAATTTTCATAGTTTACAGATTATTTTGTTAATATATTATTATTATTTTGTTAGTATAACAAATTATTTCGTTAAAATAGTTCACGCGATTTCAGGCAGCCAATCAAAACATTTCCCATTGATTTTTGTATTGTCAACTCTCCAGCTTTAGCACAACAATATGCATCAACAGGTTTAACTGACTTCAGCGTCTGAAACTTGTTCTGATTACTTAATTCTAATTCGTGTTTATAATATATTACCAGAAATCTGTTATTAATAACTTATTATAATAACAGATTTCGGGTAATATATTATAAACAATATATTGTTATTTGGATTCCTTATATCCATTAACAAGTGTGCGAAGTGCAATGTATAAAAAAAGTGGCATCACTGCTTTTTAAACTTGATACAGTAAAGTAGATTAAAGTGCCAAATTTTCCTATAATTTGATGATTTTAGAATGGTTTGCAAAATATTTTTTCGTACATGTAAATTTGATCTTAGACATGACGAACAATTTTGAAGATTAAAAAAAATGTGAATTTTACAAACATATTTCTAACCAAACGTATAATTTTTGAATAATAATTCATACTCTCTAAAAGTGAAACAGTGAAATTTTCACTATTTCCGTCAGTGAGTTATTAATTCACTTTAAAATTAGTGTTTTTCAATATAAATTGAATTTTAACTTCTCCAAATTAGTGTTTTTTATTATCACTTTTTTTCCGGAACTCTCGACAAAAAATAGTGAAATTTTAACTTTTTTGAACTAGTGGTTTTGAAGAAATGGCTACATGAAAAAGTGAGTATTCACTAATTGCTAGTGGTATACTTATCACTGCGGCAAATAGTTAATATGCACTGTCAATCAGTGAAAATCCACTGTTTCATTTTTCAAAATAATGACGAATTTTTAAGCATATAAGTAGCATCAATAAAAAAGATTTGCGTGTAATTTTTCTCTTCAGTTCAAATCATTGGAATACACTGCCATCTGTGCTTCTACTTGCAGCTTATTAACTTGATAAAACTTTTCGAGGAAAACTCTGTTGTTTTGACATTTTTATAACGAAAAATAAAAGTAACGTTGTTACTGGCAAAGATGTATTGAAAAAAATGAGAACTTAGGGCGGCATTTTTTGCCACTGCCCCTGTGTAAATCCGGTCCTTTTCATTTATGTGGGTATGTGTTATTTTTTGTTTGTTTAGGAAATTGATTAATAAAGCAACATTTCTTATCAAAATATTTTTCTGAATTCCCAACAAATACTTTTGTTACTGGGTCTACGAAAAAGATTGTAAGAATAAGGTGCTTTTTAAAAATTAAAAAATTATGGTTGAATTATTGACATAGAATTTTGTTATTAAATCTACAAATTTTCTGTAATAATTTACTTAGTTAACATATTATAGTTTGTTGTAAACATAACATAACGTTGTGTCATAGCGTAGCATGAACTCCCCTGGAAAGATTTAAATTTTGCTTCCCCAAGACTTATTTTATAGAAAGAGAAACAACACAATAACCGTGCGCGCGGAATTGTGCTCAAGCTCGCCTAAGCTACTTAAAAAACCTTAATAATACCTTAATAATAATATTTGCTTAATTTAAGGTGGCTCTAGTTTATTTCTTGGGAGAAATTTTTTTTTTTATTATTATTCCCGAAACAGTTTGAGATAAAATAATATAATTTTGTATGCTTATTTTGCATGCTTACTTTACTTTTTATGCTGTATTTAAAAATAACAACAAAACTTCAAATTTGTATATATGAGTGTATTTAGCTCCAAATTTTTTGTGTGCAATTTTTTTTGCGAGTTGGTTAATGGATATAAAAATTTATTACGTAAAAAGGAACTTTTGTTAAACATCAATACCTATAATGCACCATTTTCGAATAAAAATTTAAATAACAAAACAAAAAAGTTGTCTTTTTTTTTTTCACTTTAATATATTTAACAAGAAATATTAATAAAAAATACATGTATTTCCCAAAAATACATTATTTTACCTCAAACTTTTTTAAAAATATTAATAAAAAAATCTTTGCGGGCGCCCCTTTGGGGGCTCTGTAGGTCCCTTAGGAGACTACCTATGTTCGTATATAGTTTTCTTCCTAATTTTTGTTGTAAAAACAGCTTGTAGATTATTGCACACTATTTTCGGGACACCCTAAATAATGCCATAGCAGCATGTTTCCAGCTTGCTTACACACCACGGCTATCCGGCACTGATGAGGTCCAGACCTGGTTGTGTAGCACGATTAAAATAAAAGCAACGGTGACGAGGTATTTGGCCAGTCCTCACAAACGGACACAACACCTTAAGTAAATAACCATTTTTCGAAACGTCAAAGGGGCGCCTTTCCTAATCATGGGGGAGCCTATCTTAATCAAGTGCAAGTTTTTTTTGTGAGTCAGCATCATGTTTTAATTTTGTGTGCCTGTGCACCAGCGGCATGTTGTGGGTCTGAAAGCCCGCCTGGCCAGCTCCTAGCTATAACGCGTCGCGACGCTGAGACCTGAATTTACATAAAATCTGGTTATTATTTGGTTAAATTTAACAAATATTTTTTTACTGTGTTTAAACACATAGGTATTATAGTTTTTCTTAAAACTCGGTCGTTTTATGAATTTAATTTATTTACAATTATTTGCTCAATATTTACAAAAATATCAATTTAGGTAGTTGGTACATCAAATTTTTAAATAAATAAATACATTAATAAACACTTAATTTAATGTTTAAATAATTTTATGTTAAAGAATGTGTATTCTAAACATAAAACAACCTTAAAGAATTTATAATGAAAATTCTTAAAATAAGTATTTTTTAATTATAATATTCTTTAGTCGGTATTTATTAAACTTGTGTCTATCTAACTTCAATATCTAGCAAGTTATTATCACCAGACCTTTTCCTTCTTCTAAATAAATCATAGTCATTGCTAAAGTCAACAAAATTTAACGAAAAGGTTTTGTTAATAGCTTCCGTCTTCTTCCTGCGTTCTTCCTCAGTCAAAAGGTTTCTTCTTTTTGTAGTACCAGGCCTCACTGTGGTACTCGTACTAGTAATTGTAATCAAGAAACTTTGTTCGATCTTTTTAACCATTAGTTTATTTAATCTTCCTGAGTTGACACTCGGTCTCGAATTCTTTAGTATCTTTAAACTTTTCGGCAGTTTCGTGCAACAAACTTTTGGTTCGAATTCCTCGAATCCGCACTGTTGGGCTCTAAGAAATTCCACGACAGACAGTTTAAGGGGTTTTCCCAGATTTTTCAGCAGGTCCATGTACGGTTGGCATTCGTGGAGCTTCAGGCATTTCGATTGGGATCTGCACGCGAGGTCCTGCCGGATTTCTGGAAGAAGAAACAATGGTTTAGTTTGAATGATTTTTTGGGATTGTTATATACGTCTACAAGTGAATTTTTGGGGATTTTGTAAGAATAAAAGAAGGATTTAGAAGAAGAGATTATGAATTATAATTCTCATTATAATTATTATTAAATTGTAGAAAATATTTTTAGAACATTAAATGTTAAATTTTAAACAGTTCTTTGACATATATATTTATTTTAAATATTTTAAAAATATTTGAATTAAATTAGACACTTCCAAGATTATTATTTTATAGTTTCCGGTTAAATTTTCAAAATTGATTTTTTAAAAACCTTCTTAAAAAAATATTAAATACTAAACTTTTAACTGTGTTGGCTAGTGGTAAAATAAATAAATAACACATTGCAGTAGGTAATCCTATTTGAACAGCATATTTACATATGGGTTATCTTTTTTTAAATATATTATAATTAAAAAAAATTAGGACAAATGTTTGTTAAAAAAAAGTAAATTTTTTAAGCATATAAAAGGTATATAATTAACCTTATTAGGTGCAATTAACATTTAACAACAAATAATTAGACGTACTAATATAACTGTTTGATTGTCGACAGAATGTTAACATAAACTAGATATAAAGATTTGTCCTTAGTATGGACCTCAATCTAGGATGTCCAGTTAAAATCCAGGAAACTCTAATCCGCTTATTTTTAAATTTAATTTTTCAACCTTAATGTTTTTTATTGATAATATTAACTTACCTTTGGCATGAATTCCCACAAAACAAACAAAATATAAAACAAAAACGACAACACTGAATTTCACACAACACATTTTTTACTCTTACTTATTCTGACTTTTTCATGCACAAACTCTGCCTTACGTATCGTGACGGATATTACTGTAAAATTGAAGGGAAAATCGGCAAATTTGTCAAGAGGTAATAATCAAAAATCTATTATTAAAAATGAGTTAATCGTAGATTAATTTTACAGGTATATTGTTTTCCTTTTCAGCTTTGTTATTTTTTGTGGGATTTTCACAATACAATTTTAAATGTTCTCGGCGACAGGGACATCTGTCGAGACTGCGTTAAAGTGAGAAGAGTGAGAGGTAGATGGCTTTACGTTGTTTGACGTGGTACGAAAAATATAAGCTGGGAAGATACTTTAGCCAAAATCCTCACATACTTCTACACAGAGACTTGTCTCTGCTTCTACACATATGTAAGTATACAGCTTATTCGCTATATTTTGTATGGATGACATTGTTTTCTCCTTTAAAGGGGAAATTTGTTACTTTATGCGAAAAGTCAGTTCATAAGTGGGGGATTTAATATATATTAGGGTGATTCAAAAAAAGCCTTTTTTTAAAAATGAACCCGCACTGGCCTAAATTATAAAGATTACATTAAAACTAAAAGATTAATACCAAAAAATCCAAATTCGATGAATATTTAGAGGTCGCTCAAATCGATTTTCGTATTTTTGCACATTCGAGCCGCGAAATTATTACTGCGCAAAATAGTAAATAACTCCGTTAGTTTTTATTCGATATTATTAAAAATTTAAGGGTTACCTAGTTTTTTAATACCCTCTGAGACAGTGAATTAAACTTTACGGAAAAAAATTTTTTTTCATGAAAAAAAAATAATTTGTTAATAAAAACGTATCATCTTATAAAATAAGCAACAATTGGAATCGCACTATGATGGTACCGTAAAAAAACTAAGAAAATAACACTTAAATTATTTAGCATACATAAAACCTGCCGAAAGAAATATTTTATTTGATTTATATAAAACATAACCTAATAATAATTAAGTTATTCAAATTTTTCCCATTTTCATAAGATTTTATAAATAATTTATATCCGTTTTATTAATTATGACGTATTTTTATAAAATTTCTTTATTTTTGATACCATGTTTAATTAATTACACTAACTAGTTATTAATTTATGTCCTTTTTATAATTAAAATAAAAAAAATCCACTGCTCTACATCTTTTTCTTTGCAATGATTGTTTCTAATGTAAATTTTTTCAACCATTTTTTCTTTTGTTTCAGTAGGTAGTCTTTTATCAAAAAATGCCAAACAAATTAGCTCTTCTATTTGCAAATCTATATTTTTGTAAACATGAAGTTCATGAAGTGTTTTCAAATCATTTTTGGGCGCGCAAGTTGCATTTGGAGCTTGGAACCAGGCAAATATGTAAACGAAATAATAAAAATACAAATTCTACGCAATGACTTATTTTCATTGTTAGTGAGTTTAAATTGATCCCGAAATAAGAAAAACTTTAGAGAGTATATAGCTTTGTTCATCCATCTGGTACTTAGACGCTTTTGAATTAAGTAAATAATAATATATATATATTAGGGCGCTCTCAAATTTTTTTATTTAATATAAAAAAATCCACACCAAATATGGGCGTTCCAGCTCAACTCTAAGAGGTCGCTGTTTTTATTTTAGTTTCCCATTGAATTAACATGGGAAAAAAATAATTTATGTTTGGACTTTTATACCTCTGTATCAAAGTAACTTATGGCAATGATCATTGCAGTTTCTTATATAAAATTTAACGGTCTACAAAAAAGGTCTCTTATTATTTTTCGATAAATTGATTTCTTCTAGAGTTATTCGAGGTCAAAGTTTGATTAACATTAAATTTTCTGTTTTTTTTTAATTTTATGGTATAATTAGCAGACGGGAGGTGAAAGGTGGCAAAACAAGGCAGCGTTGTCCCCCCCGCTGGGGCACCCAAAAAGTTTCGTAAATTTTTTGTTTTATTGTTTTTTTCGGTTTCTAAATCATTAGAAAATATATTTACTCACCAAGAAAAAGGATTTTGGAAAACTTTTGATATGCTCATTTTTTGGGTACCACATTTTGCCCCCCCCCCCCGCTGCCTTGTTTTGCCCCCTTCCACCTCAAGTCTGCTAATTGTACCATAAAATTAAAAAAAAAACAGAAAATTTGATGTTAATCAAACTTTGACCTCGAATAACTCTAGAAGAAATCAATTTATCGAAAAATAATAAGAAACCTTTTTTGTAGAGCGTTAAATTTTATATAATAAACTGCAATAATCATTGCCATAAGTTACTTTGATACAGAGGTATAAAATTCCAAATATAAAATTATTTTTTCCCATGTTAATTCAATGGGAAACTAAAATAAAAACAGCGACCTCTTAGAGTTGAGCTGGAACGCCCATATTTGGTGAGGATTTTCTTTATATTAAATAAAAACATTTGAGAGGGTAAGGGGTCTATTCTGTAACTTTTCCTTTAAATTTTAAAGGCCTTTAAAATCTTAACGGCAGTTAAAATTATGTTGCTATTCACCAAACTGGTTTTCCTTTATTTTTTTAAAGGAATCCTTTAAAGTGGCCCGTTAAAACGATTATTTTAAAGGGGTGATAAAATGTCACTTTATTTTTTAAAGGATATAAAAATAGCGTTTTTTGATGTTGTTGGTGAACTTTTTGAAAGAAAACAGAATTCTCCTGGGTGGAAAATTTAACCCTATGCATTTACCAAGAGTAAATAAAACATGGGAAAACCTCACTTACCACTTAAATAATATAGGGCCAACAAAAACCATTATGCAATGGAAAGATGTAAGTAGGTATTATAAATTTATAATTATACAGTTGATATACAATTGAATCGTTTATTGTTAAAACAAGCCTGACTTTTTGCAAACTTTTCAGTTCTTCATATTCTAGCTTAAATTGATATTCTTTATACCTAATTTATATTAATGCATTTTATAATTTTGAGGAATATTTTAATTGCACTGAACTTGTGTTATAGTGCCTATTTTAGTTATATGTAGTAGTGTATTGTATGTTTAAACTTTTAATTTGTATTTCTTATATTCTTATCCTTATGTACCTGACGTGTGAAAAAATTTGTAATTTAATTCACGAATAAATATTATTATTATTATTATTATTATTATTATTATTATTATTATTATTATTATTATTATTATTATTATTATTATTATTATTATTATTATTATTATTATTATTATTATGTTTTTAATCATTGCGATCATTTTTCATATCCTCTGTGTTTATCTCTAAACAATTAAAATGAGTCGGGCAGCACGTACCACGAAAAAACAAAAAGAGTTTTTAATTAAATTTTTGGAAGAAAACAGAATTCTCCCGGGTGTAAAATTTAACCCTATGCATTTCCAAGAGTAAATAAAACATGGGAAAACCTCTCTTACCACTTAAATAATATAGTATTATAAATTTATAATTATACAGTTGATATACAATTGAATCGTTTATTGTTAAAACAGGCTTAAGCCTGACTTTTTGCAAATTTTTCAGTTCTTCATATTCTAGCTTAAATTAATTCTTTAAACCTATTCATGAATATTAATGCATTAATATAAATTAGGTATAAAGAATGTCAATTTAAGCTAGAATATGAAGAACTGAAAAGTTTGCAAAAAGTCAGGCTTGTTTTAACAATAAACGATCCAATTGTATATCCACTGTATAATTATAAATTTATAATACTTACATCTTTCCATTGCCTTATGGTTTTTGTTGGCCCTATATTATTTAAGTGGCAAGTGAGGTTTTCCCATGATTTATTTACTCTGGTACTCTGGTAAATGCATAGGGTTAAATTTTCCACCCAGGAGAATTCTGTTTTTTTCCAAAAAGTTAATTAAAAACTCTTATTGTTTTTTCGTGGTACGTGCTGCCCGACTCATTTTAATTGTTTAGAGATAAACACAGAGGATATGAAAAATGATCGCAATGATTAAAAACACAATAATAAAGCAAACACAATTGTGATTTTAAATTTAAATCATAAGAGGATCTGCCAAAACGTTGACAGTTGAACTACAAATAGATCAAATCAATTTAAACGCTGTGCTGCCAAATGTCTGGCTTTAAGTTTTAAAGGATTCCTTTAAAATTTAATTTTTTAAAGGACCTCTAAAATAAGTGCTTACAGAATAGCAGTTTCCTTTATTTATTTTAGCCGACCTTTAAAATTAAAAATTTAAAAGGGCTTTAAAATTTAAAGGAAAAGTTACAGAATAGACCCCTAAGAGCGAAAAAAAATTTTTTTTTAAGCACCCTAATGTATATATATATTTATATTTATAAAATTTATCAACTACCTGGTAGTAGGTCCTACTATCAAAATTTAAGAATAATAATTATTATTGTGGTATGTCAATTTAGCAACATCTAGACAGAATCAAATAATTTTGGTATCAAAATTTGAGAATTGTTGTATATCAATAATTTTAATAAAATTTAAATTTCTGCTTAAGCCATATCAATGCAGTGAATAATTTTGTAGTTAACGTTATTTTATTTTTGTTGTAAAAAGGACCTAATTTAATAACTACCTAGTGTAATTAATTAAATATGGTATCAAAAATAAAGAAATATTATAAAAATACGTCATAATTAATAAAACGGATATAAATTATTTATAAAATCGTTTGAAAATGGGAAAAATCTAAATTACTTAATTATTTTTAGGTTATATTTTATATAAATCAAATAAAATATTTCTTTCGGCAGGTTTTCTGTATACTAAATAATTTAAGTGTTATTTTCTTAGTTTTTTTACGGTACCATCATAGTGCGATTCCAATTGTTGCTTATTTTATAAGATGATACGTTTTTATTAACAAATTATTTTTTTTTATGAAAAAAAAAATTTTTTCTGTAAAGTTCAATACATTGTCTCAGAGGGTATTAAAAAACTAGGTAACCCTTAAATTTTTAATAATATCGATTAAAAACTAACGGAGTTATTTACTATTTTGTGCAGTAATAATTTCGCGGCTCGAATGTGCAAAAATACGAAAATTGATTTGAGCGA